TTTTTCTTACAACCGGAACTATTAACCACATAAGGATTTCTGAGATGTTTACCTTCTCCTGCCTTGGTCTTCCATAGGAAAAAACAGAAAAAGGTTTTTTACCTGGAAAGCCCCAAGCAAATTCAAAGATTTGGTGTCTTGTTAAAGAAAAATCTGCCATGATATATGAGTAGAAATGCAGAACCTGCTAGGCTGTGCCCTAGACACAGCAGTTATCTGACTCCGCAAGGTTGTTAGTTTCCCCAAGGGACCACAGATAAAAGAATTTCTTCCATAGGAAAAAAAATGAGTGCTTAGTTCCTCTTCAGTCCTTTGGTCAGTTTCCTAAATTTGGCATTTCCCTCACCCACATAAAGCAATGCACACAGAGACTCCTGAATTATCTTTATCTGGTTTTGGTATCTCTGTCTCTGTCTCTCTGTCTCTCTCTCTCTCTCTCTCTCTCTCTCTCTCTCTCTCTCTCCCTCTTCTAACTGGAACTTGGTATTTTAAAAATACTCTAAGAATGAGTGGAGATCTTAGAAGTTTCATTTTAGTAACATAGCTCAGTTGAAGATAGCTCTGTGGCAGAGAGTATAGAAAGAGACTACATCAAAATCACAGTCGGTCTTTTTCTTCAATTCTAAAAGGGCTCTGAATTTTCTATTGATTTTATCAAATTAATTTTCCTGGTTGTGATAGAGGAAAGTGACACTCTTTGGTCACACCTTGGCTGCTGCAGTGAAGTCAGATGAGGTCGGAAAGTAACAAAAGAACTTCTTCTCCCACTTCCCACCACCCCCTGATAAGTTGATCTTCTTATATATCCAGATGACAGTGAAAGAGATTACATCCCAAATTTATTTAGGGAGTTGCAGTTAAAATTATTATACAAAGCAAAACCACAATGAAATACCATCTCATGCCAGTTAGAATGGCAATCATTAAAAAGTCAGGAAACAACAGATGCTGGAGAGGATGTGGAGAAACAGGAACACTTTTACACCGTTGGTGGGAGTACAAATTAGTGCAACCATTGTGGAAGACAGTGCGGCGATTCCTCAAAGATCTATAACTAGAAATACCATTTGACCCAGCAATCCCACTACTAGGTATATACCCAAAGGAGTATGAATTATGCTATTATAAAGACACATGCACACGTATGTTTATTGTGGCACAGTTCCCAATAGCAAAGACTTGGAACCAACCCAAATGCCCATCAGTGATAGACTGGATAAAGAAAATGTGGCATATATACATCATGGAATACTATGCAGCCATAAAAAAGGATGAGTTCATGTCCTTTGCAAGGGACACAGATGAAACTGGAAACCATCATTCTCAGCAAACTGACACAAGAACAGAAAACCAAATACCACATGTTCTCACTCATTAGTGGGAGTTGAACAATGAGAACACATGGACATAGGGAGGGGAACATCACACACCAAGGCCTATTGGGGGTGGGGCTAAGGGAAGGATAGCATTAGGAGAAATACCTAATGTAGATGATGGGTTGAAGGGTGCAGCAAATCACCATGGCACGTGTATACCTATGTAACACGCCTGCACGTTCTACACATGTATCCCAGAACTTAAAGTATAAGAATAATAATAATAAACAACAAAAAAAGAATAATAATAATCAATCAGTCTCAGGACACGAGTAACCACAGACAGCAGTGGCTGCCAAGACTCGATCTGAGGTTCAAGGGGGTTTATACCTCCTTCTCCCATGGGTCTAAAGATAAGCCATATGGAAGTACTTCATTCACTCACAAATATATGCAGTGCAGCTCATCCAGACACACAGTTAAAGGAGACCCAGACTCTGTGTCATTGTCCCCATCATCTCCTTCCCCACAGCCTCCTAATGTCTCACTTGGATAGACCATGTGACAATGCCACAGCTCAGCTTCCTTCCACAGTCTTCCACCTTTCTCTCCTTCCACTTTCCATACTGATGCCGCAGGAAGATTTCTAAACATCACTCTGCTCTCCCGGTCAGGTTACCCCATGCTTAACTTTTTAGTGCCTTGCTGTTGCCTTCAAAATAAAACCCAAACTCCTGAACAGCATAATAAACTACTGACAGTTTCCCAAATACCATTCCCTCAAACTTTGCAGCCTTTGCATATGCTGTTCTCTCTGCCCAGAATGCTTTCCTCTTTGCCTGCGGAACTCCTACTGGTACTTCAAAACTCAGTTGAGATGTCAGCACCCCTGGCAGCTCTCCCAGACTACCCACCCCACCCGCTCTTTGTTAGATGTCCCTTCTTTCTGTTCCCTTAATACTTTGTGAATGCCTCTATCATAGCAAAGATACATTGAGTAGTAATGGCCTTATTTACCCACTTTCTTCCCAACTAGACTGAGAACTTATTGTACGTAGAAATTATACCATTTATCTCTATATCCCCAGTAGACTGACTGGTACATAACAGGTGCTCAGAAGTTATTTACTAAATGAAGACACTCAAAACCTAGGAGGGAAGACAGAGACTCATGAATCTGTAATGAGGCATAATAAATAGAATGGGGTGCCATTACTACTGAACAGAGAGAGTGGACATCTCTGCTTGTGAAGAGCATAGGGTCAAGGAAGCCACCTAGAGGAGAAGATGCTTAGACTGACCTTCAGAAATAACAAGAGATCACCAGGCCTATGGGGAGGAGGAGAAAAAAGAACAGCGTTATGTGTACAGGCCTGAATGCCACAGTCAGCATGACGCATTTGGCAAGGTTTTCCTTAGAAAGATGACTGTGGTGACAACGAAAAGAGGTTCATGGAAGAATGATGGGGAATAGTGGAATAATACATGTAAAGGCCTGAATTGAGCTTGTGAGCAATGGGATACATATGAGGACAGGGACAGATGCAGAGAAGTCGAGAAAACAAGGAGTACAGCGTGACCCCCACGTTTCTGGCTTGAGTGAATGGTGTTGCCATTAACCAGGATTGGGAATTAAGAGGAAGAACCACTTGGAGAGAAAGGTAGTTAGCCCTGTCTACTGCTTCTACTGCTGTTGAATTGGAGTTGCCTGTTGGACAGACAGCAAGGTGACAATGTGTAGTAATCAGCTAGACATGTGGGTCTGAAGCTCAGAAGAGTCCAGCCAGGAAGGAACACTTTTTCTATATGTAATTTCATTGGAACTATTGTTTTACTTTTTCAATTTAATTCTGTGCCTGAGGTTTCTGTTGTGGGCAAGGACTACTGGGGGAGGAATAATTGGTCCCATTTCTGCCTCTGGCTTAGAAACATGGCCTCTGGCAAACTATTCAACTTCAAGTTATACCTGTTGACTCAGAGTAAATGAGAAAATTAAGGAAACTTGAAGAAAACTACTGGCCCTAAAACAGTTAAGTTGGTTTTGTCTTCTTGGTTTTTCTGTGGAATGTGGAAGTCATGCCAGTGAGGCAAACCTCATCCACCACCCCAAATCCATACCCCCAAAGCCATGGAATGAGTATACAAAGGGAGGTCTTTACCTTCACTACATTGGAACACTTACCCCTTCGAGAATAATCCTTAGGTGGAGATGTCATTTCCTTGTTACAACAAACGTGTTTGTTCTTTCCCCCCACTTTCGGGGTCCTGTTTTCATGCTCTCCTGATATTGTGATGGAAAATGTGTGTTCCTGTTCTCAGCCAGCCTGTAGCAACTACATTGATAATGACTAGCTATAGAGAGTTTTTCCACAGCTCTGTTTGCATTACAGAGTTTAGACTGAGAGCTGCTTTGTTTAAGGGACCTAACTAAAATAGCCTTTTTGCAAAGCAACTCTTTGTGCTTTTGCTGGTTCATTTGTTTTACATTACTTGCACCAAGATGAGACTTTTTTTTTTTTTTTTTTT